GGGTGGCCAGCCAGGCGGAGCTGCTCCCCCTGGAGAAGAAGCAGGTGGTCGTCCCCAACTCGAGCCCACAGGGACCTGGGGAGGAAAGAGTCACAGGGAGGCAAAGCCTTGGAGCTTGGGCCCGGGCTCCGGGTCCCTGGGGTGGAGGGTGCAGGCAGGGAGTGAGGACCCACACCTGTGTCCTGAGGTAGGAGGGGTCTGAGGGAAGAGGGCCACAGGAGCAGGGGAGGAAGGGGCCAGAGAGGGAGTGGGGCCTGTGCCTGGACTCCTGGACATGGGGGCAGGGGTTCCTGGGTTCTGCAGGAGTTGAGGGCCGGGGGCTGGTCTTGCCTAGGTCTACCTCTCTAATGACACCCAGTCCTCTCCCTGGGTGGGGACTCCTGAGGTGAACATCACCCTTTACTTCTAAGTTCCTGACCACATCAGATCCCCACTTGGGCCTCTTGCATACAACTACCCACTCCCAGTGGAAGGAGATCATGGACCCGGAAACACGGAGAAGGACCACACTGCCCCCTGGTGTCCACCGCACAAGCCCTTGCCTCTCCATCTCCACGATTAACCCCATCTGGAGCTGGGAGAGACCCAGTTGTTCCTGCTCTTCCCGCCCCTCCCTGGGATTGATTCCCACCCACTCCATGGCGTCCTCAGGAGCATCCCCTACTTGTCGTTCCAGCAGTGCGCTGCAGTGAGCACCCAGCTCTCGTCCACTAGGACGCCTGCGCAGTGGAATTTGAGGCCCTTGAAGAGGGAGACCTGCCAGGGCTGCGAGCCGCGCGTGCAGGGGGCGCCAAAGGCCGCAAGTTCCAAGCCCGTGTCATTTACTGGGAGCGCATCCGTGGCTGGAGAGAGAACCGAGAAGACGGGGCGGGGGATAAGAGCCCGTAGGGAGAATCTGGGGATTGGCCTGGCAGGGAGGGGGACGCTGCCAGACACCACGGAGTGGAGAACAGGGGGACTGCTTGAGCCGAATGAAAGTGGGCGAAGAAAGGCGCGAATGTGCAAGGAGAGGTGGACCGAGTAGCGCAAGTCAGAATGGGGGGGGTCTGGAGGGGCGAGGACCCCACACCTGACGCTGCGCGCACAGAGGGGTGGTAAGGCCCGGCCGCGGAGGGCTGCGGCTTGGAAAGGGACAGAGACAGACTGCGGCTGATGATAGGGGGCGGAGCTCGAACCCGCGAGCGGCCAGGGGGCGGAGCTAGAACCCGGCGGGACTCTAAAGGGGGCGGAGCTAGAACCCGGCGGGGTGGAAACAGAAGGTGGT